TAACCGGATTCTTTCTTTACTCTTACTATTTCACTTTGAATCTAGATTTTTGGTGTGTTGATAACCAAACTAATTGAGACGAGACTCTGGAGAATTAAAGAACAGAATATCTAACCGTCTAAACCAGTGCTAAATACTTCTAATAGGACTACGATCCCTTACAAACAAGTGAGAGAAAAATAATAATTCACAACGGCACACTTAAGAGCATGCACATACATAGGCTTACCTGCCCCAACTGTGGCAAGACCACCGTGTTAAAAGTGGCACCTACGGCGAGAGAAGCTGCAACTGCAGCAGGCAAGAGCTGAGGCAAGCTAGGGTTAATAAAACCAGAAGCAGCATCTCCAGAGGCCAGTAACACAAGAAGTGGAAGGACAATGGATGGATTAAGCAAAGATGGCTTGCTATCTGCAGAAGGTGCTCTTAGAAGAAGAGATTCGCGGCTGTCTTGATGGTTTGTCAAGCAAAGAGGTTCTGAAGGGTAGTACTTTGGGGATTTAGGACTAATTCTAATGGGACCAACCTCTCTGAAGACATTTAATGGAGCTGCTAGAGCTAAAGTGACTCTTTCTCCTTGCTGTGCTGGGACATCAGGTGTTGAAGTCGCAAATTTATGTGTTTGAGCATTTCCAGAAGGGGTTTGGATCTGGAAATGTAAATTATATGGTCATTTTCAAAGAAAGAAAGAACAATTACAATACACCTTGCAAAATAATTGAAAATGTTCATGTTTTTCAGTGAATAAGAGATACTGTGTAAGAATTTTATACCACTATAGAATGGACAGCAGAAGGAATAGTTTGCTTTGTTGTTTGAAGAAATCCCAGCCACCTTCTCCACGCTGGAACATCCATGCTGCGTTCGGCAGGATGAGATCCTTAGAAACAGTAAATGTAACAGGATCAAAACCACAAAACATACTTTTTCTTTCAGAAAATAGTAAACAAATGCAGGGAGCATTGTGCTTTTTTTTACTTAAAGCCTTGGGGGAAGAGCGTAATGCTAATCCGGTATCAAGTCTTGACAGTACAGAAAAAACTATATTAGTGACCTGAAGACTAGATTTATATGCTAACCTGATTTCTTCTGACTCAATATTAACTATATCTCCAGAAACAAGCTCATATTGGTAGCGGCACTTTGCACAAGATACTACCTACAAAAGATCATAGGGAAATTAAGTGAGCAATATAATATCAAATATATATCCAAGCACTTCATATCAGAGCCAAACAAGAGTGACTTTTGGTAAAAATTACTCATATGCATTCTAGAATTCCTTTGGTTTAAATTGATAGTGACTGATAATCTTCTAAGACTTTTACAGTGAATTGGTGTCCTTAAGAGTGAAAACTTGAGTGAGATGTAATTATATGCATTTTTCGTCCCTCAACCCGCCCCCCAAAAAAAAAAGAAAAAAAAAAAAGAAAAGGAGTACTGCCATGACTGTAATATTATGAGCTCTTGACTTTAACTTTGATGCAATGAATCAGAAACCACAAGAGACCTTGACATGCGTACTTGAATGCCCTGTTGGGGTTGTGCAACAGCAACAGCCACCATGCATGTCGGGCATTTTATTATCTTACCAAAAGGGACCTGCAAATACAAACACAATAAGTTTGACAAATTACACCGTGTTTATACAGAATTCCAAGAATTATGTTGATAAAAAAAATTCTTGTCGCTTCATCAAAGAGTACACCACTAAACACCATGTCTAAGTAGTTACAAGATCATCATTTCTAAGCAAATTACGGCTAGCTCTAACCTCTTCTCCAGGAGAAAGTCCAACTCGACAAATTTCATCAATGATATTTAGGGCATTGGTTACCCTCAATGAAGCAGCTAGACCAATGACTAATGTTGTGTAAGTGTTCAAATCCGGCCTTGGCCATTTCCATCTCACAACAATGCCACCATTCTCCTTTAAGACTGCAATTTTACAATCCACAATCAACGCAATTACACACGTTTACTCACACTTATACAGCGCTAAAAGCCAATAAGATCATGGCTCAATACAGGAGCAAATTAGAATGCAAATACTCATACCATACAAGATTACAAGATACAACCATGCTTTAACAAAATCTTAACCTAATTCACATCAAATAATTGCACTACTTCACATCAGATTCCAAATTTATCCAATGAATTGCAAAAAAGATACATGCAAAGCAACCATAAGACTAACTATAAGAATTTAGAGTTGAAACACTATGTACATAACATTAGACAACATTAACTCTCTAAACTTCCTCTGTTTTTCAGTTGTTCCACTTTAACTATAATTTTGACAAATATTATCAATAATTATCCTTAATTATAAATTATAAAAACTTGATATTAATTATATGGAAACAAATTCATCAAGGTTTAAATTATTGAAAAACTAACCTAAACTTTTTTTTTTCCTCTTCCTGTAAATAGCAGAAATTATCGGAAACATAAAAATAAAACATAAAGCTTATGCAAATAAGATTAATCATTAATCAAACATTAATAACACCGATAGTATGATTATATAATTAGTGAATAATTGGATATATGAAATAAATATATAAAGCTCATATGAATTAAACGATTAATCAGTAATCAAACAACAATAACACTGATAAAATGATTATAATCGGCGATAAAACTGCATATATCAAAGTCGTTTACAAAATTACCTTGATCGAAAGCCGAAGAACGCATAGCATTGAAGATAGAGAGAGCTAAATCAGAATTATTGCACAAAATTGCAGCATTAATAATTCTACAACAATCATCGCAACTAACAATTCCGCCATTTTCACTTCTACTTTCAACAATCATCTGAAGAACTTCACTCGCATCCTTCATACTCGAAGCTCGACTAATCGCCTCATTATCAAACACTACCTTATCTCTTCCTCCGCCGTCTTCTTCATCGGCGACGTCGTTTTGAGTGTTGCTGGTTGAAGCTCGAACAGTGACATTAATGGCGGAAGAATTCCAGAAATTGACAGTAGACGAAGAAGAAGAAAGAGAAGGTTCTAGATTGTTCCGGAGAAGAAGGAGGAACATGGTTTTATGGTGGTGAGAGTTGATGGGAGGAGAGAGAATGAATGGAGAAGTAAAGTTGAGTGCCATTGCAGAAGCCTTACTTTCTCTCTCCTCTGTGTGTGTAAGAGTTTATAGGAAGAGAAGATGAGGAATGAGAGGTTGAATTAAAAAGACTGCCATATTCCACGTCATCAAATTGGATAAATGGATTTATTTAGAAATAAAAATTAAAATTTGCTTCAAAAAACAAAAAAAAAATGAATTAAAATTGGAGGTGCGGGGAATCGAACCCCGTGCCTCTCGCATGCGAAGCGAGCGCTCTACCATATGAGCTACACCCCCTAATTTGTTTATAAGTTGATAATTTAATCTATATTGTATGCGTTTTTTTAGTTGACACCTTTTGAATTTTACACTATTCACACAACACGTTTTGATTCTCTTTTGTCGTTTATGGATACGATAAAACATATTCATATGAGATCTTATTTGAATCGTTTCAATGTATATTTTATTAATATCTATTTTTTTTATAATTTTACAATGTTGATATTAGAGATATTAATTGTCAAAAACATGCGTTGACTAGCGTAATAACAAAAAGGTGTCAAAAAACAGAGGAAGTAATGCATTATTAGATTAGTCACAATGTTTATTTTCATATTAGAATTTGAAGAAAAAAGCTTTTTGCCGTTTTATTGGAGGATCTTAGTGGCGTCTCTCAGGCTAGAATGGTTCCTAAGGTGGGAGGGTAGTTGTGTGCTAGGGTTTTTTTTATATTTTTTTTTTAGTTTCTTGTTTGTTTTTCGTTTGTTTAAGGTTTTTCTCTTATTTCGCACAAAAAAAATATATGTACAAAATCTAAATTGAAAATACAAAATCTAACACATGAAAACAAAACTATTAAAAAATCATGTGAACTTTAAAATGTCTCAGATTACTTGTAACATTTTGACTGGACACGTTTGTCAATGTACATGTTTGACCGTCGATATCTTTTACTCCGTATTATATATTTATAAAAGCTATAAAAAGTTTAAATTATGAAACTATACATTAAAATAGACCCAACAACATCTTGCATGATTATATTGGCTTTCATTACTAGAAAACATTGTCAAAACAAGTTGTGTGAAAAGTACAAAAAGTCGAACTGTTGCAAGTAATTTGATATAGTGGGAGTACTCATATTAAGCATTTGTTGTCGCAACTATCAATCTATGGTTAACCCTTAACGCAAAGATGCTATTTGTTAGCAAACATATACAAATATGATGGAAAAATGTACCACTACATGCACAATAAGAGACAAGTGGTAAGTATTTTGGGGGAAATATTCAATATATATAGGATGGTAAAAAGTACCACTACATGTCTACATACATAATAGTATAATACTCCCTTCGTTCTCTAATGTTTTTTACATTTGGAATTATGCGCGGTTATTAAAATTGTGTAAAATAGAGGTAATTGGAATATTTCAATGATTGAAATTACAATTTTATTGAAAAAAAAAAAACAATGTTGTGCATGTGGGGTGAAGAAAGTAATAAAAGTTGGCAAAAAGTAGAAGAGAGAGAAAGTAATAATAAGTATTGAAAACCCATTAAAATATTATAAAAGGTACATTTGCACGTGAAAAGTGAAGGGCAATTGAGTATTTAAATTGTAAAGCAAGGGTAATTTTGTCTAAAATCAATGACTTAAAAAGAAAATATCCTAAATGTAAAGAATAAAAAGGAACGTAAAAAACAAATGGAAACGAAGGGAGTAGTATGCAAAAAGTACTATATAGACAACTTATACTTTAATAGTACATTATGCATAATAGTATATAAAAAGTATATGGTTAATGGTTCATTATGTACCACTGTAGATTCGGCTTTTTTTCCACATAAAAGTATATGGATTCCTCCTATATGCTTCCTAAATGCATAGGAGCTATGCACAGTGAGTCAATAACACAATAAACAGGATCAAAACTAACTTGTATTAAACCAAATACGAAGTATGAATTACATCTCAAAAACAAAAGGCATTTCTGCATGATTGAACCCCTTTGGCAAAAAAAAAAAAGTAACAGCTGTACAAGGCAGATTTCAAATTGAAATTGAAGCTGATATTGAAGAAGTTTTAACATAAAAGTGACATTTGCTCTACAGTAACCAAAAGCAACATCAAAGACCTCTCAAGTTTTGAGGCTCCAATATCATATACCAACCATTCCTTTGAGACTATTTTTTCATATTACCAACGAGCAAATTTTACCCTTGCAAAATATTTAAAATCCTTAATTCCTGTAGTTGCCAAATCGACCTCTTAGCCATGGTTGCCTTGGCTGATTAAAAGCGCCACGTACTACACCACCACTGTTTGTGTGAGCAAAAGTCCTCAACCGCTGCTCTTTCATATTGGCGAACAGTGAATCCAATGTTTTAGGTTTCTGGGTTGGCATCATCTCCCCTCTCTGAGAAGGTTGCTGCTGTTGTCGTTGCTGCGGTTGTTGCCGTTGCTGCTGTTGTTGCCGTTGCTGCTGTTGTCGTTGCTGCAAGAGTTCAAACATCATATCATGCTCTCACACATACACCCTTCAAAGTCATAAAGATTACATATTCTCAACTTCCAAGACTTGAACCCAACCTCCATCCTAAATTCAGTTTGCTTTCAAAGAGATTATGACATATTCTATCACAACTGCACTAAATTGCAAGCTTCCAAACAAATGATAATAGAGGCACCATGTATTATTGTAGGTAGACACTAGACATAATTTAACATAGGAAGGTTATCACTAGTTCAAGTTTTTATTGAAGGCAAACCATTCCAAAAGAAAAATGAGTTAAACAGGCAAGGGCTCAGGTTGGTTTCCTGTATCTTGGCCAAGGTTATCAAAATAAACCAGATCTACAAAATGAACAAAATACCTTATGAACATTGCTTCCCATTGATGCATTACCCTGCCGTCTCATCGGACCAGCAGCTCTGCAACAAAAGACAACATCACAGAAGTGAAATCAGATAATAGTTAAATAGAACTCAACTAGGGCAGCAATTTCCACCATAAGGTCCCAAATATCAGATGAATAACCAGCGTAGCCCATCAGTAAAAAGACTTAGCCATATTCTAAATCCATTATCCAGAGAATTTATACAACAAACCATATTTCAAACAAAGACAAAAATCACAAGCTACAGAATTGCATATAACGCTGTTCCAGATAAGTACTTCCCTTAAGACTTAAAAATATGTACGGATAAGATCCAATCATCCAAACCCCCAATACTTGCAAGCAAACTTGACAAAACAATCAAAGAAAGAAACCAGCATGAAGCAATGGCCCTCCATGAGTTCAAACACCTCCAGATGTTGCATGCTACAGGCAAATTCTTATGAGACGAAGCTTGAAGGATTACTGAATGCTACTTAGTACAATGATGTACTTTCTGATGAATGTAATAGCTTCAATGGGAGATTATACATAAATGAAGCACGCCACTGCACCGCCAATCACAAACATAACCAGATTCTCAACTATCGGATTACAGTTAAGATAAAGCAACTGCATTCATTTTAGGACACCACATGCAATGATAAACACAGCCTCAACCCACCAACGACCCAGATAATCCATCATAGACTTCCCAAAATTCTTCAAATTTCCCCAAATTGAAGGCTGACAATGTAACAAGCAGGAACAAGTACTACGCGTTTACGGTAGAAATAGTTTGTCACAACTGGTGGATATCGGCTGAGACCTACACACAGCCAAGAGCAACAAGACAGACAGATCAAGTTGCAACTTGAGGTTTGCAAAAGCAAGGCAGGGTCTAGATTGTGCAGCAGGTTTGAAGTTGGGCATAAAGCAGTAAAATGTGGAATTGCACTGACAAGGGAAAGTAAAACAGGCAAGCTAACAGTGCAAGAAAGGCCGATGAATCCTCAAAATGGAAAATCACACCATCCAAAGCAGGGGGTGCAAATAAATGAATAACTCTGTCAGGAGAATAACAGAACAACCCCATATAAACTATCATTTCCCCCAGCAGCAAATTACTTTTGCACATACTCTTGACCTGTCCTCAAAGGATAATTCACCAGCTCCAACATTGAATAAAAACCACACATCTTTCTACAATGATCCAGCATCAACCCCTAACACCTTACCTCAGCCCCCAATGGAAATCCCAATTAACTTTACAACACCTTGCCACCATTGTCAAGGTATTTGAAACCATAAGTAAATGCGAAAGCTAACCAATTCAGAGGCCTAAGAACCAATAAGGTGTATTTAAAACTCAACGGAGCTCATTCAAGACCCTCTGGCATTTGGAGCAAGTGAGCAACACAGCGAAATGTTCTTAATATATAACCGGAACCAGGTGGAAGGGTCAAGTATAACAGAATCATGATTTACCTGCCAAGCAATTATTGATAAAATCTCATTATAGTCCCCATATTAGACAATACTATAAATGGTTGGCACCCATAAAAGGTACAGACAACCTTACCTTGGTCTGTTCCAGTTAATGGCCTTGTTACGATTAAAACCTCCATTGCGGAAGGGGGCAGCCACTGCCTTACGAGCAGCATCAGATGCCAAAGGGAAACCATTTCCCTGAAAATTGGACCTTTTCTGAGCAAGAACCCCCTGAACGTAACAGCAAACAGAAGGCAATATTCAGAAAAGTGTATCACACAAGAAGATTTAGGGTAAGGGGATGATTTCAAGAGACCCAAAAAAAGCTATTACCACCAACCTGCCTAAGAGTAGACCTTGAATCCATATATTGTCGCATCTTCAAAGCTCTAGCTTGTTTTTCATTAGTAGGTATCCTAGTTTTATTCTGCAAACCACGTTTTGTAAGGGGAAATGCCATTCACCCAGAGTTATCTGATAATGATTACCATTTAACAACAAATAAAACAAAGCACTAGTCAATAACGAGCCATACCGAAACCCTCTGCTTCTTGGGTTTGCCAACATTTGTTTTGGACATCTTAATGATATCATCTGCACAAAATTACGACTTTATTAAAATAGCCCAATGAAATCATCTCAAAGATACGTCGTTTGTTAATGAACTACAGACTGTCAGACATTACCTAAACTCATATCCATTTTTTTCTCTGTTAGAGCAATAGCCTCGGTTGTAAGCGGTTTCGTAGCCATCTGAAGCAAACATATAAATCAGTACTAGGTTTGGAAAATAACATCACATTCAATCAGGAAAATATTAGGGCTTATAGCACACAAAGAGAACACAGAAATATTCAACAATCTTTTCTCTTTTCAAATCTATATTCCATACTTCAGAATCACTACAAAATTCCAGATGACGGCATAAAATCAAGTAAATCACAAAGAATTTCAAAGTTAAATTTTATTCTGAAACATAATCGACGCATCAGCTAGTTAAAGAAGCAAAGAGCACCATAAAACACAAAATTAATCAAGAAACAATCAGAAATCGGGAAAGAATCACAATTTCAATTGCAATAAACAGCCTAATACTTTCTACAATTTTCAACAATTTCAGTATTCTGCCTTAATTAGAAATCACTAAACAAACCCTAAATAAATGTAAATATCCATAAGAATTATAACAAGGTTACACAATAATAATACTTCAAAAAAGATAAATCAAATCGTGATAATGAAACCCTAAATTTAAAGAAAATAGAGGACACAAACCTGAAATCGACAAGAATTTGAGAAAGAAAAGACGATAATCGATTAAGCGGAGAGATTTTGATTGAAATCGACAAGAATTTGAGAAAGAAAAGACGATAATCTGTTAGTCGGAGAGAATTTGATTGAAATTAGGGTTAGGGTTTCGTGAAATTTAACGAACTAGGAGAAAGAGGGCAAAATCAAATTTTATATGATGTCTGGAGAAGAAGGGCGGTTTATCGTAAAAGGGTATGGAAGAAGTTTCGCACCGATAGACAAGTAAGATATCACAAGATTATCAAGTAGACGCTGTCATAATTTTTATTTTATTTTATTTATGATTATTATTTATTTTTTTTTTTTTTTTTAAGAAGTTGGCATTTACAACTCATACAATTTTTTATTTTATTTTTTTGAAATTTACATTAGGATAGAAAGTTTTATTATTTTTCTTTTCACTAAGATAAAAGTTGGGGCTCAGTTGACCTTACCGTGTAAAAAAAAAAAGAAATGTAACTTGTCTCCTTGATCAGGCATTTTACATTGGGCATAGCAATTCCAATAATTGTAAGTAGGGACTTGTTTGTAATTTCCAAAAGTCTCTAGCTACTAGCTTGACCGTTGGAACTAAAAAATACAATAAACTTGGCCATGTAAATTAACTTGTGAAAAAAGTTTTCAAATATTTTGGAGATTAATATATTAAAATAATTAAATTTGTAAAGTTGATTGAGAAAGTAGATTTTATTTAATTAGCAAGCTAATAGCTAACCATTGAGGCACAAAATAGCTACAAAGAGAGTTAGCTTGAAATCATAAGTGGCATGACAAGCTAATAATAATTTAACAATTAGCTTATCATTAGAGTTGCTCTAATAGGCCTCTATAGTTGTTGCCTAGGGCATGCAAAAAGTCCAGTCAAACCGTGAAATTCTTTAGCTATGATAATTCCTGAATTTGAGAAAGTATAACTTTTTCATCATCACAAGTTTCAGTTTCTTAATTTCATTAATAGTTTAAACATCTAATAGTTTAAGATTTTTTAGTAATACATGATACACTCTTTTTTTTATTCACACTAGGCAGCTCGCGAGCGCCATAGCTAGCAATATTCGGGAAGCTTCCTCGGTTTGGCCTTACATCGCAAAATTAGTTGTTAGTAGCATTAATAACGAAAAATATGTAAACAAATATATATATATATATATATATATATATATATATATATATATTTGATTATTAATGTCCGCACACCATTTTTAAGAGTTTAAAAAAGAGCTAATTAACATTATTGAAGGCAATTAAGTAAATAAACATTTTAGAGGGTATCATTGTCCAAACACTATTCATAAGAGTTATCTCATAGAGTACTTTTTAAAAAGTAGGGATACAATACCATCCATAGCTTTCTTATTTCTATTCATAACAACTTAAGTTCGCTGACTCCAAATCTCCAACCTCTCATCCAAAAATATCTTTGTTAAGCCACAAGGCGCGGATGATGAAAGTCAATCCCAAGATTTCTTGAAATCGGGAGGAGAGTTCTAAGGGTCTGTTCTCATACGTTGAAATTTAGTTCAGTTCAGGTCCTAATTTCCTTCTCTTATAAAATATTCATTTCATTTCAGTTCAGTTCAGCTGAGTTCAGTCAATGAGACAGACCTTAAGTCCTCTAACCACTTGAGTTATCCCTCCCTCTTTGTGTGAGTGAAATATTCATCTTTGGGAACAAATCAACAAAAATAATTTATTTTTTTGAATAGTATATCGACAAAAATAATTAAGTACTCCGTATCTTGATTATGTCAAGAAAGTCAAAGACAATAACTCGAAACAATCCAACCAAATCCAAACTGACACGACCTAAAATTGGATAGGCATGGTCGCATGGACACGATGATCCAAACCCAAACAGTCACCCTTTATTGACATCGATTATTAGGTCCTCGTAAGAGAAGTGGCTATCTTAAGTCCTGCAGTATTTTATTCCCTCTCCAAAGTCCTGCTAAAGCACATGTTTCAATGAACATCCAGTAGCTTGTTGCATACCGCATTCCTACCAAAGGCCAAAGGCGATAATCACCTAAGCTCTTTCTGTTTAATAACAGCTGTAGCCCTTTACGCATATAAACATAGAACTGCCGTGATACAAGGATGCATAAAACACATGCTGTGATGCTGATCCTTCAAACCAAGGAAGTTCAACATCCAAAGATCTGCCAAATATAAAATTAGGAAACTTTTTAGCCACATAAACTGATAAACAGCATGGTCAGCTCACTTTCCTCAACATTTCAATCTAAAAGTTGTATTTGGTTGAACAAAATTAAGGAGCTGAAATACATTATTGCAGAAATCTAATCCCATGAGTAAGTAATGTGATGAAATCAGGGCCTATAATTTATTGTCGTAAAACTTTGTTTCTATCCCAATTGTATGGGACCTAAGTAAAGCTGCAATAAGGAAAACAGGGTTAATTTGATACATCAATAACCCCTACAATTGCTTCAGTTGTCTCCGTAGATCCATTTCTCAGCATTGTGTGTGTAACTGACCAATTCCTCAGGCTTGAACCAAAGCTTGATTTCATCCTTAGCTGTTTCTGGGCCATCACTTCCATGGATAATATTTCTACATTCAAAAAATTAAGTCAGATTAACAGTGCCCAACAAGCAGTATTCATCCGAATCATTAGTCATAAGTAGTAATACCTTCCAACGACGACTGCAAGGTCACCTCTGATGGTTCCTGGTTCTGATTTCTGTGGGTCTGTGGCTCCAATGAGTTTCCTTCCGTATTTAATCACCCCCTCGCCTTCCCAAACCTATGAAAATAAGTAAGTTAGTCACAAACGATTTGGAAGTCACGTCTCTCATGAAAAAAAAAATTTGTTAACTAATTTCTCACCATAGCAACCACCGGGCCAGAGCTCAGAAAATCACAGAGTCCGTTGAAGAAAGGCCTCTCTGACAGATCATGATAATGCTTCTGGGCAAAATCCTTTGAGGGAACCACTACTTTGATAGCAACAAGCTTGAAACCCTTTCGCTCAAAACGTGCTACGATTTCTGAGATCTAAACATTGGAACAGTAATCTGTGTTAGTAAAAAAAAGAACGAAAAAGGCTGTCCCAACTGCAAATTTCAATGGTAAGACACTTAATGAAAAAAGAAAAGGCACAGGAAAAGTACTAACCAGCCCTCTCTGTACTCCATCAGGTTTGATAGCAATGAAAGTACGCTCCATCTACACACATTTCAGTATGAAATCTCTCTTAAAATCCTTTTCATGATTTAGAAGAGTACTTGGCAGGATACAAATTCAACCATTACAATTACAAGAATTAAGAGATCTTAAGAAGTAAATACAGCAAAAGCTAAGCAGGTACCTCTGCAGCATAAGCTTCCTGGTCCTGAAGCAAGTAAGCTACATTGCGAAACAGGTGAGGAAAATAGCATATTAGAGAGAGAAAATAAGCGGAAACACCAATAGCATTGGTACATATCAGCAGAAACTCAGGAAATAACCTATCACACAAAGCATAGAAAGAAACTACTTCTTGACCCCATTGATAAACAGCATAAAATTAGTTTTTGTAGACAAGATTTAAGCTTGCTGCCACTAAAACGCTTAGCTAATGGTAAGGCTGCTCTTCTACAATTTCATATGGAAGAAATTCCGAATGTCACGAAGCTAAAACAAAGCAAGGTACAAGGCTTCTCTACCTCCCACTCAAAATAAATAAAAAATGTCAATGACATGTAATTCTTTCTTAGTTTTAACTTCCAATTTACAAAGGCCCATAACATGCATTAACTGATAGAGAACTGTAATACAGGCTATACAGCACATAAAGAAAAAATTCCTCATTTAGTCTTCAACAATACAAACTTTCTACAGGACAATAATTGGGAGGAAAAAAAAAATACCAAGCCTTGGTTTCTCAAATTATTGTATCATTACACAATGAACAACAAACCATATCTGAATTTCTTTACCATATTTAAGCACAAAATAGTACTTTCTGTCTTTCTACATCTCAATTTTTATGTCAAAAGCATTCTTTTTGGGGTCCCAATAAAGTTGTCAAATTAGTACCATTTAGTGCTTTTTACTAGTAGAAAAACAAATTACCCTTCAAAATTATCTATTGATTAAACTTTTAGTCCCAAAATTTGAGAGATACGGATGGTTCAATAATTCAGCAATCACACGAAAAGATAAACAACAAGAAAGAAAAGACATGAAAAGAAAATCATTGAAAGGGTAAACTATTGGGCACCTGCTGCAGGGATGGCCAATGCGGTGGACAACCACGTTCCGGATGCATTGGCTCCTCCAAGAGAAGCCAAGTGAGACGCTTTTCCTCTCAAGGATACAGCAGCAGTAGCAGCAACAGTTCGTCCTTCTGCAATTCAAACACAAAAACGAGTTCAAAAACAATACTTAATCCATCGTATGATAACAAACAAATATACTCAAGAAAGCACAAACTCGTCCCACTTAATCGTTTCATATTGTGTAGTACAAGTGCACAGCTTTTATAAAACCATACCCTTCAAGCTGTAATCAAGGCAAGCAACATAGATAATGCATTTGAAGTCCAAATCCATTTACAAATCATTTTCAATTGACAAAGCAAATAAAAGATGAATTCTGAAATTCAATTTCATTTATCAATCTACCTCTTTTCTAATAACAAAGTTAAACAATCTTCTATCCTTTTAATTAATTATTGTTGTCTTTGTTATAACCTAAATATCAAAATAATCCTAATTTAAGGATTTATAAGCCTTTTTAACATCTCAAACTCCATTTCAACAACATAATAACACAATCAATTGACTATCAATCAAAAGCAACCAATCTATAAACTTAAACTCAATTCTAATTCAAACATACTTACTACACTAGAAATCATACTCAGCATAATTCCTTCGTTTATTCTTAAATACAACATTCACATTTCCCACTACTCACACACCGACAACCTTTAGCAATTTATAATAATAATTAAACAAAAGGTCTTGTTAGACTCGTCTCGATTTATGTTTATAAAATCAACCTTTACTAATGATAATCAAAACACGTATATAGTCAATATTACAGATTGAAATCATGCATAGACAAGCGCGAAAACACCCATCGTAATAATAATAATATTGAACTAAGAATGTAACGGAAAAACAAGCAAATGAATCTGAAAAATAAATGACTTGACATTTGAACAACGATCTAGGAGAGAGAGAGAGTACCAGGGACGAAGCGAGAGGCGGAGTTCTTAGAAGAAGAGAGGAAAGAGCGAGCAGCCTTAGAAGCAGATCTGTAAAAGTGGGACCTCATTTTTCAATGGAGAGAGAAAACAAACTCTAACAAAGAAGAAGATAGTAAGAGTGAGGTTACTAGACTGACAGATCGATACAACAGTAGTAATGTTTTAAGGGTTTTGTTTGGGTCTCTTTTTATAGTAGTAAGTAGTTGGTAGGATTTTGATGCTTTCTTATTTACTTTTTACTGTTGGAGATTTAGAAATGCTTTTTTTGTTGTTAAAATAACAAGGTCTTTTTGTTTTTTTTACAAAAGATTCAAATAACAATGCTTTTGCTTTGCTTTGTTTTGTTTGCTTTTTTTCTTTACTTGCCTTGTTTAGGTTTTTGATTAGGAATCATACATTTGCTTTAAGTGTGTGAGACATGTCTAATCTAGGTCTCATCAAGGTGTATTGTTGATGAAGTTAGGTCAATTGGGGTTGTTGTATGAGTCGACTGTCGAGTAATTAAACTGATATTATTATCGTATTGGATAAGTAGTGTAGTATTTGTAGTTATTGAAGTGGATCAGTATTTGTATCGACTTTGATGAGGTCCAAATATTCAAGCTTTTGGATTTATATCTGTGATTATATTCGATTTTATACTTGGTTCAAAACTAAATCCGTATTCATCACATCATGGATCTGGATATGGATGTCATTGCTTATAAAATATACAAAGCATTTGCTTTACAACATTTAAAGGAGATATTAAAATTAATAATGAATTAGGAGTGTGAGGAATGCAAGGAAAGTCTAAACGTAGACATGAGTTTACAATCTTTAATCATGTCTCTCATAAATTGATAAATACGCCATGTCTTGTTCAATTTTGTCATTGTACATTTCTTCTCCTCTCCATTTCTTCTTTCTTATACCGACCAACTAGGTGGACTAGCTACACTTGGCCCACCTTGGGCCCTTCCATCTCTTGCGATCTTGCCCACACTAACCATCGCCAACTCCCCCCCCCCCCCAACAACCAACAACAACCAACCCACCTTATTTCTTCCACCTCACTCTCTGCTCCTTCCCTTCCGTTTCTCCTCTTTTACTCATAGGCTCATAGCCACAACCTTCACTATAGCCAATTAAAAGTAACAAAATAACAACCATAGTAGGAGTCAAGAAAAAAAAAAAAAAAAAAACTTACATCATAAAATAGAAAAGACATTTAGCAAATCACAAAACCATATGGATTGTAGACATGATATCATCATATTTATCATGTATGATTTGTTTGAGTAAATTATTTACATGTAAAATAGTCACAAATAAGTACTAGAACTTCAACTTCAAATAACAATGAGTTCATCATCACAAATCATCCAAACTTCAATACATGTAAATTCGTTAGAAAGTTGCAAATACTATTTCATGGATCACATATACGACAACGTCGATATATCAATTAGCAATAAACGCCCCACCAGCAAAGCTCCACAAATCACGTGGGCCTTGTAATAGTGTTGAGTTTACTCTACGTACACTGCTTCACAGCCTAATTATACTCCAATGCTGACAAGTTAAGTATCTAAGTCATCATCCTACTTACAAGCAAGACACTTCCCCAAACAACTACGGACTTTGTAAAACTACTTCACATTACGTATCCTCGTTTGAAAAAACGTTCGTAAGAATGGAATTCTCAAGGAATTGATGATAAGGGCATGATTTATATGGAAACAAATCAGTCGTTTGATCAAAACAAACTGGAACTAACTGTCAATAAAAATGTCCAGTTAATTTGACAGTAACTAGCGAGGGTAAGACAGTAACAGACTAACAGTCACGACAGGGAACCAGGATGGGCACAAGTGTTTATTTAATGGCCAAGGCCAAGTCCACTGATCAGAAGTTTCCAGGAGGGGAAATTCGACGGGAGCTCAAATTGAAGTGGTGAACAATGGTGTCTGAAATACAAGGTAAAACTGGTAAAGAAAAAAGTCCGATCTGTCAATTAGCAAACCTGAAATTACCCTTATTTTATTTACCTTGAATGTGGTTATATTTACAAGCACAATAATTAATTTCTGCACATCAAACTCAGATTCTCAATAACCTTATCTTTCTAGCTATATACATTGCTGAACGTTGCTTTCACAATTTTGATCACCGGGGTCAGTTTTATCAGGTCCAAGCTTGCACTCTGTTCGTAATGCTCTTAACCAAGAATCAACCTGTGCAATAAAGTTACAATCCAAGTATCAAAACTAATGATCAAGAACAGTTACACTTGAAATACATGCAACCACGGTTAAGGACATAGAACTCTAACAAAAAAGGTCATTTCATCTTCTTCTTCCTGCTGAACATGAATACATACAACAAAGACATATGGAGTTGATCATCTGTTTCACTTGGGACTTTATATTTCACCTCAAAATCAGTGTAGGATCCTCGACATTGAAATGAGGGTATGGAAAGTTGACACCTCATTTGGATCAAAAACATGATAAATTTTCTTTAAAAAGCTAAAACATGAACAATTGTGTTCAAGTAAACAGTCTATGACCCCTCAATTATAATCCATCAATTTTTTTTTTAGTATACTCACTTTGTCCTTCTACAGCGATTCATATACAAATCAGTCATATGAGATTGTTAGGTTTAGGTTAGTCTCGATAAATAAATTCAAGTTATCATTTTTTTGTAAAACATTTACTTATAGAGAATAAAAATGCTTTGTACGGAGTATGATCAAAGTTGTGTGTAAACTTAATATAACAGAGGTAGTACGTAATACTACAATAACATGAAATTTCACACAAACTCAATAATGTCCGTTCATTTAAGATTTATTAGTTTAACATAAGCAATTAACAAGTGACAAAATGAAGTAAATCTGCCCCAGATAAGAAGGACATCTTTAACAGCAAATCACATACAAAAAAGTGAAGCAGTAGCTACTGGATTTACCTGTATCTCAGAATCGCTAGAACATTCAATTCTGAGTCCATAACGTGTAACAATGTAAAAGCAGTGCCAAATTTCTTCACCTTCTCGAACTATGCATGGCAATGAACCTACTTCATCAATGTCGGAGAGAAGAGCTGAATCCTGAGGACTCAAATCTGCAGCAGCTTTATTAGATTATTAGTAATAAATTCAAATGCTATCAAAATTTGAATACATTGACACCCCATTCAAACAAGCATACAAATAAGGCAATAACACACTTTGACAAATGTACCCACCTTCCTCATTCCTCAAGAAAAAGTCCATTACAAAACAAACATGTGACTTTTTAACACAACACATCTAGGAAATATGTTATCGAGTCAAAGATACCATCACAAATGATTGAAATGAATAATACAGTTCCAGTCATTAAACATGTCACCTGAAATGAACATTCGAAGAATATGGACCAAGAAATCAAATACCTGTAGAAGACAAGTAAAAGAAGATGCATGATCCTTGCAGGACTGTAAAGCGAGGAACCCAGTCATCGACATCACAATCATCAATAGGAGGTAGCTCGCCAGGTAGTGCCGCCCATCGCTAAAGAATTCAAAAATAATGCATCAAATTCAAGCAACATAGTATTGAAGTTGGTCCAAATGCTGAAAGATTACAAATAGAACCCTACTGTTCTCATATTTAAGTATCCTGATAGTCGAGCCCGCCGCAAGATTTCATCAAGATGTTCCAACCTACATTAGCGGGAACATGTAAATGAAAGAGTACAAGTAGCTGGCTAGTTCAATGCATGTATACAAGTGGAAGAGATAAGCATTTCTTACTGTGCTTTGAAATGAGCCTCTCTTTCTTCTACATCAGCAAGTTCTGACCGAAGGGATTCTAGTTCTACAGCACTCAGCTCAACCTGTGAGTTAGAGACAGAAAAAAGTCACATTTACATTCTTATTACAAATATAAAGGGGATCGAGTAAGCAAAGTTAACTGCAAATACCTTTTCTTCACCATTAAGACCAGTGATATTTCGTAGTCCCTTCAAACTAAATAACCTCAACATGAATGAAGCAGTTTTCAACTTGTTCCTAGAAAATGAACGATTCTGAACTATGCTGAAGTCAAAGGAAAGAAAAATAATGGTGAGAATCAACTAATAAATTACTTCACTATTAGACTTTTCTTTTCAACTAATAAAGGTACCTGGAGGCACTGTTGACAGTTGTATTTGAGAAAAATGAATGTCTATCTAAATGAGATGTTGTGCCAGATGTTGATGTATGAGGAGAATCTTCACCAGATACTGAGGTATCTGAACTTCTGGGTAGGGGAGAATCTGCGGAAGCGGAAGCTGAAGCCTCAAAATAATCTGGTATGATCTCTATAGTTCTAGGACCATCACCCATCAATGAAATTCCTATTTTGCAAATTGGCTGCAAAATTTAAACAACACAGTGAACACACTGAGGAAGGTTGTAGTCATTAGTATAATCCTTCAAGCAAATAAGAACAAAACATTGGCTATAATCAGCACATAGTTGAAGGATATAGCCAACAGCATATTGAACAGGAGCAATTGCAAATTTTGCATGTGTAATAATAAAGCAGAAGTTCAAGATTAGTAATTTGCTTTTCACATGTACAGACATGGAACCATATTATTCTAAAAGGTTGGCATAAGGTAAATAATCGTTATTTAAAGGTGTAATTGGGCAACTTTTAATGCAAATCTTGTTCAATATACTCCACTTATTAGCTTATTTCAAAATGTAGATTCATTCCAATCAATTTTCTAAGGCATTACTCACCTTTCACCAAACCAAACACCAGACACCACCAACAATAAATATCATTATAAGTTTATAACAATGAATTATTTGACATTAAATTAACTCTTTTTCACTCGATCTAAATGACCCTGGACAATAAGTGCCATGTTTGCTTCATTTCATCTTATAATATAAAAAAAAATGCACATATAATATTCCAACTATTTGCATTGCAATTATTCTACTCTCTACTTTTGGTATTTCTGATATTAGCTATCCTAATTGCTTAATACGAAGTGAATCTCTACACATTTTATACACTTATCAAAAATATGTTCGTTTTCCGCTTTTCTTAGAATTTATTCGGGGAGGAAAATAGGGAAGAGAAGCAAGGAGAGAGGAAAATTTTCAACTTTGAAAGTTCATTAAGAAGTTAAGAAAGAAGGAAGCCTATAATTAGCCTCTGTTTCCCTAATCTGACATCCAATTATCCAAACCAGGGAGCTTGATCCCATAACCTCCCTTCCCACATCAAAACAAAGTAAGAAATATTACTCTTTGTGAAAACCTATAACTGTGACTGAAGATCTAACTGCAAACTGATGCCAAACACAGTTCACATACTGAAAACATTAAGCGATCAACAAAGTACTAAACAATTACAATAATACACCCCCCCCCCCCCAAAAAAAAAAAATAAAAATAAATAAATAAAACCATCTAAGAAACAAAGTGTTTTTGCAATTTCATGAAAGTAAAACAAATTATAGAATAATGATGTAAAGCTCTTAAAAGGCATGTGGGAGAAGAGGAAAACTATAGCTACTGGCACTCCTATGAGAAGTTCCCAAGGATTAATGTAATACACTAATACAGGATTACAGGCAACTTAAACTATATGAAGAAAATAATTATGTATGCAAGTTTAAAATAAAATAAGAGGAATAAATTGGCACCAATTAGTAAGCCAATATTTTTCCTCAAAGCTAATGCAGTCTTCAAATGACACACTAGTGAACAATATAGTAAACTATCTAGCAATTTAGCCAAATCAAAATCACAGATGGATTTCCCAGAGGAAATAAGACTCCATTCATCTGAAAACAAAGCTTTGGTCTATCAAAATCCTTGAATTCTTTCTTATTGGCCATATTAAGTGACTAGAAGTTGGATGTAGAGTATCTTACCCGTAGTAATAAGTTAATAACACTAGGCATATAAATACTAGTTCTGGTAATCGATAATTTGGCATGTCTATCAGTTGATGAAGTTTGCAATGATTTATGAGCAGTTTGAAATACTAGATCATTGCAAAATTATCAACCACAGCAGCAATTTCAACAACAGTTCCATTACTAAAAACCATAAGCAGCCACATTGGATGGTAAAACGACATCTCTTGGCAATAAATAATTCCTGCTCAATCCTAAGTAGCCTCAATCATCTATCCTCACTCCAAAACCCCGACAAGAGTTTCAATTGCCTAAAATTAACAGCTTATAAAAAGTAGCCCTTGATCCAGCTAATTACCCAATAATCAAGAACATACTTTTTAGCATTCTCAACTAAATTGCTCAAAATCCTCACCCACTTTACAAAAACTTGAAAAAAAATCCAAATTTGAACTATACTAACACAGAAGGCGTTAATTAATCAGCTCAAAAAAAAACCCCAATCAAAAGTCATATTTCCATATACATCATCCTAAACCCTAAAATAAAAAAATAAAAAAAAAAACTCCATACTTTGAATAATCCATTACAATACTGAAATTGAACTTAACTCCATCATAACCCCAAATTAAATTCGAATCAATTAACCCAAAAAAGACAAAAATCGTATACATAATTGATCATAATCTTGACATCGTCAACTTATTCGAAAATTTATTAGTAGCAAATACAGAAATTAAATCACAAGCTAAATCAATAACAAAGTGCAAATTTTGCAAGATTCCCAGAAAAATTCAAGTACTTAATCAAGCAAAAGCAAATTCATTCAGCATAAAAAATACAAGAAAAAAGGAAGTACCTTGTTAATGGAGATTGGAGCGAAGGGGGTTGGCGATTGAGGGGAGAGATTGAAGAAAGGGAAAGGGGGTTTGAGTTCGTGGTTTTTTTTGTTGTGTTTAATGCTGGTTTAAGAATTAAAAATATGAGATTGACCAATGGTAGAAGAATACGTCTTATTTTTAACAAATCATTATCATTTTATTGTGATGATTATATCCAATGAACTGTTCGTTAATGTTGTTGTACTCGGAAAACAATTGCCGAATTTGCCTGTTGTAATTACCGTTTTACCCTCCACCTGAATTGCTGGCGTTTTTCGTAATTCAATTGGACTCGGGGAACAAAATTGTACTCGTCGTTTTAAGCTTGTAACTAGACCTGGTTGTTAAATAGCGTAGTCCTATGATGATTAGAGCCGGTTATTGAGTAAGGTACTTCAATGATAATAGGGTCAGAGTCAAGTTTAAAGAGTTTTTAATGGACAGGGTTTTTAAAGGACAAGCCCCTTATTGGGTAGGGTCAATATAGGGTTATAATGTTTTTTTTCAAATTAATTGATAAAAAAATAGATAATGTAAAAATAATGGACATGACCCTTTTTTATCCGACCCACACCAGCCCGTCCAATAACCAGGTCTAATGATAATAAGGTCAAAACTCATGATCAATCTTATAGAATCCTTAATACTACCTTCGTTTATGATATTTTAACTCACTTACTATCCATGTGGTTAAAATAAAATAACTTTGACCACATGTTACAAGATATACAATAGTAATAATTCACCGTGTAAGATCTTATTAGATTCCTCTCATTATAAATAATCTAAATATCAATTTTTTTGTATATATTTTTAAATTATACACAACTGGAGTTATTCATTGTCAAAGATATTTATTGGAGACCGTGTAATTGCAAAGTGAGTCGAACGAACTTTCAGGAACAGAGGGAGTAGATATTGTCTTTAATGGGACATGACCCTTATTGATAAGATCAATCTACGTCCAAAATCGATCATTCAATAATAATATCAAAATATATATATATATATATATATATATATATATATATATATATATATATATATATATATATATATATATATATATATATATATATATATATATATATATATATATATATATATATATAAGCAACGACATACTCCCTCCATTCCTAAATAATTTACCCGTTTGATATTTCTTCTTTTCACTATTCATATATGGAGTATTGACTTTGACTATTATTATTATTATTATTATTATTATTATTATTATTATTTTTACAAAAAAAAACAACTCCTAAACAATTTCCTCCATGATCACTTGTTTGGGCTTGGCCACTAGATACTGGCTTTGGGGCAGGATGATTATTACTTGTAACAATAAACCTACCAGTTTAAAGTTGATTTGATTCAATGTAGCAATATCAAATGGTTTGTGTCCACAAATAGTTGATTTGTGATTTTACATGTCAACAAATATTAATTAAAATTTGACCTTAATTATATCCAAAAAAAAATAGCAGATATATTATCATCAACCACTAAATTTTAGGTCTAATATTTCAAACAAAGTTAAAGAGAACATTTAAACTTAGCCCTATAAGAAGTATTCCGTATAAAAGTAATTACTTTCTAGTCACTAAAAAATTACGGAGTTAAAGTCATTAAAGTAAGTTTATCACTATGACTATGAGATGGTTTCGTACACAATTTAACCTTAATAAGGAGATAGAGAAATCGATTAGATGAAGGCCATTGTCTTTTGTCTCGTGCTACCATTCAAATGAATAAGATAGGACCGAATCAAACCCCACATAAATTTTGTGGTCAGAAAATCAGAATAACACACAGCAACTCTCTCTGTCTCTCTCCTCCTGCAAAGTGAATTAGGCAACAATGGCATCTTCTTCCTTATCACCCCCTAGCTTCCAAGGTGTCTTCCTTAACAAATCACAATTTCTAGGCCAAAATCACATCAAATTATTAACTCAAAGATCAATCTCAACTTCTTGTCCTAAAACAATCTCAAGTAAACCAACAATCACTGCTAAATTTGATCTCTATGGAATCTTGGGTGGCAGAGGTTTATGCAACGGCGAGGCAGGCCTCGAAAAGGAGCTGAAAAGAGACGCTCAAAACCCGCCACAAACAACCGAGGGTACTGAAGAGGAATCAGATAAAAAAGCATTTGCAGACTCAAGCATTGATGAGGTTATACCAGAAAATGCATTTGAGAAGGAGCTCTCAGGCCTAACTGGTGGATTTCCTGGAGGCGAAAAAGGTCTTCAGAAATTCATTGAGAAAAACCCACCTCCTCCTAAGACAGAAAACAAAGGTGGTGAAGATATGAAGATGGCTTTGACCTCAAAGAAGCCGAAACCACCTGAGTTGCCATTGTTGTTGCCCGGGATGATCGCCCTTGTTAAAAATCGGAACAATCCATACTATATGTACTGCGGTATTGTGCAGAGGATTACTGATGGCAAGGCTGGAGTGCTGTTTGAAGGAGGGAATTGGGATAGGCTGATTACATTCAGGCTTGAGGAGCTCGAAAGGAGAGAGAAGGGCCCACCAATGACAAATCCCAAGTCTGTTGTGCTTGAGCCTATGATTGAAATGCTTGAAAAGCAGGCATCAGAAACAGAAAGTAGTGAAGTAACACAGTAAGCTTCCAATGACCAATCTTTAGTCTTGTTTGTATTGTACAGATCAAAAACTGCAACTTCTCTTCTATTCACCCATAAATAAAAACCCAAGTTAAGGATTGTTCTACATTCCCAATTTCTCATATTTCCTGTAATTATATACATATTGCATCCACAATTCCACATAATCCTATTAATCTATCATTTGTTTGGAGTTAATGATTATTCCAAACATCAACTGGAAGTAGCAGGCATAGCAGATTTAACTCCCAGGAAGCTCTAATGTTAGCAGATTAATGCACATCCAAAGTAATAACAAAAGGAACTCAGGTTCTGAAAAACCGAAATTTAATCGTAGATGATAATCAACAGTACATAGTACCACAAAAAGTTGCAAATTATTTAACAGTCTCACAATTTGAAATAATTGCAATCATAGTATAAATTCCATTCAATATATGGAATATCAATAAATGGTATGGTATACACCAATTGGTTTGACCAGTCCTACCTATGCTGCCTCTTCTTTAATCTTTACCAAGGTTGAAACAGCAGCAACAATATCTTATAAAAAAAATCCAATTTACCAATTTTTTCACCAAAATGTTTTTGTGAGAAATAGCCATTGACTACTTCAGTGAGATTAAACGCAGCCACCCAACTGCAAAGAGAAATAACAGGAAGGCAAAAGAGAATGCAAAGTAGTTAGGAAAACATGAAGTTGAGATTTCAAAGAGTTCAGAAGGGAAGGGGAGTTGAAAGATAAAAAAGGTTTCATTTCAGGACAACATGCTGTACCAGTATAGCTTCCATCTCAGCACTTGATACTGGTGTTCGCTTGGGCTGGTCAGAAGCCTTCCCAGAGGCAGACAAGGAGGAGTTGCTGGAAGCTGACCTCAACAGGAATGCCTTCAAAGCATCATCTGTTGATGAAGAAGAAGATTCTGGCAAAGAGGAAAGGGGAAAAAAGGCAGATAAGATAAGTTAGGAGTTAAAATTAACACAGCAATAATTACCCAAATGTTTAAAGTCAGCCATTAAGCTAGACATAAGTAGTCAAACCTCAAAATTTTCTAAACCAGCAGACCATTGCTTAGCACAGCCTTTCAAACAATATCAATAGGAACAAGGTAGACGGCCTTAGATTAGATTTTAGTACTAAGATTTAAGTATAAAGAGAGGCTAGCAAGAAAGACAGCACTAATCGAAGAATCATTCTCAATATCATCACTGAGATAAATAACAGCAAAGTCAGAAACTTGTATTCAGAGAGTAAAGGCGGATATTATAGATCAAACATCAAAATAGGTTAAGAGCTTAAGGCGGAAACTGGATCAAAAAACTAACTTCAAGGATAAACTACAGCTTATAGATTCCTTTAGACTTTATTTTAAGAAAAAAATTGCAATGGGCAATGGCCCAGTGGTCAAGGCCTAAATGCTAGTGTCTGAACTGCCAAGTCCCATGACAGTTTGTAGGTATAAAATTTTTGCACTACGTAAACAAACTGCCTAAGGCCCTGTTCTTTTGAGCTTCTGGGCAGAGCAGATTTCAGCAGAGCAGAGCAGATTTCAGCAGAGCAGATTTCAGCAGAGCAGAGCAGATTTCAGCAGAGCAGATTTCAGCCGAGCCGAGCAGATTTTATTATTATTATTATTATTATTATTATCATCATCATCATTATTACTACTACTACTACTATTATTATAATTATTATTATTATTATTATTATTTTTTTGAAAGAAATATTTATTATTATTATTATTACTACTACTACTACTAATATTATCTCATTATTATTATTATAATCATTAAATTTTTAAAGTCAAATATTAATTATTATTATATTAATTATAATTATAATTAAATATTATTTAATTATTATTATTATTAAAAATTAATAATTAGTATTATATTTAAATATTAGTTATTATCTTAATTTTAACTGCTATTATAAAAATCAATTATTGTTATTATAATTAATATTATTAGTTATAAGTATTATTATTACTATTAGTATAATTACTATTATTATTAGTACTATTATTATTATTAAATATTAATTATTATTGTTATTATTATTATTATTATTGTTATTAATAATTATTAATAATTTATTATTATTATTATTAAATATTAATAATTATTTTTTAATAATAATAATAATAACAATTATTATTAATAAATATTAAATAATATAATTAATATTCAATATTTAATATTTATTATTGTTATCTATTATTATTTATTTATTATTATTATTAATTATTATTATAATAATTTAATATTAAGTATTAATTTTAAGTAGAGCAGAGCAAAGCAACTCTAAAGAACGGGGCCTAATGCAGCTCCCATCAAAGATTCAAAGTTACACTCTTCAAATTAACTTAAAATGACTACCAACACTAAACAAAACCTTTTAGTATCTCAGCTCCTAACCCTCCCCCCACCCCACCCCCCTCTTCCTTTTGACCCCGGGCAAAAATAAGGGCATTAAGGTCGTGTGATAAACATGTTTAATGACTTGT